TGGCCCTTTAGGCTTATGTTTTTTAAACATTATGCTATTTTAAGTTGAAAAGTAAATACATTTGGATAATAAAAAAACCAATATTCCAGTTTTGTGAATGAAATCCTGGCCCCACTGAGGTCAAAGCTGTTTTGCCAAATGCAGCCAGGAGTTCACCCTGTGTAACAATGACTCATACTAACATATTCCAATTTCCCCATGGATAAACAGTTAACATGCCTCATCCCTGTATCGCCAAAACAGATGTTTGGTGGCCTGAACCTAGGTGAAAGATTTGGACTTCCCAGCCTCACAGAAATGATTGTCATTGTCATTTTGGATTATGCCAATCCTTCCAGTGCTGTCCTCAAAAGTAAACTCATAGTCCCTTCTGACCTTAAAGTCTATCATGATCATCTAGACTGACCTCCTGCACATTGCAGGCCATAAAACCTCACCTACCCACTCCTGTAATCAGGGTCATCAGAAGCTTCCTATCAGTGGGGGGCCACCGGTGCCTGAACAAACCATGGCCCCACCCTCCGCACCACCCCTCCTCCCGCCCCATCCTCCCCTTTCCCCCAAGACCCCTGCCTCTCCCCCATTGCTCATCCTTATGGCTGGTTAAAGAGGGGGGCGCCATGGCCACCTGCCCCTCCTGTTCCGGCACCCCTGCCTGTAATAGACTCCTAACCTTTGGCTAAGATACTGAAGTCCTCAGATCATGATTTAAAGACTTCAAGTTACAGAGAATCCACCATTTATACTAGTTTAAACCTGCAAGTGACCCATGACCCATGCTGCAGAGGAAGGCAAAAAAAAAACCCAGGGTTTCTGCCAATCTGACCAGGGGAAAATTTCTTCCCGACCCCAAATATGGCATTCAGTTAGACCCTGAGCATGTGGCCAAGACCCAGCAACCAGACACCTGGGAAAGAATTCTCTGTAGTAACTCAGAGTCCTCCCCATCTGGTCTCCTGTCACCACCCATTGGAGATATTTGCTGCTAGCAGTTGCAGATCAGCTACATGCCATTGTGGGCAGTCTCATCATACCATCCCCTCCATAAATTTGTCAAGTAGTACATAAAGAAGTAGGATGTTCATACATTTCATTTCTATCTAATTACTAAATACATCACATATTTTGAACCCACGTTCACATTTGATTCACACTTAAATCATCTGGTGTTATGTCACTGCATACTGCACATTGTTAACTTCATAAATGCTGCTAAGGTTCTAAAATATGTAAAATTAATTAATCTTACCCCATACTATGGGATATTTTCTCCTGTATTTGTTATTATGCTTTTCTATTTTGAGTCTTTATCTGAAATTGTAAAAACAAATCCAACACATTTGGTCCATAGCAAGTTGACAGGTTGCAATATTCTAATGTGTTCCATAACTGATTGGCTAATGCAATGATTTATCTTCTGGATACATTAAGTATTAGAGATGATATTTCTATGAAGTAATATATGGGATTCCAACCTCCTTACTTGTATTGTTTTATGTGCATTTATACAGTTCATTTCCATGATAATGGAAGGGGGAGGAGTGTTGTAAATAGCAAAATGGAGTAATTCAGTGCTGTCATATTCTAAATAGTGTGCGCTAAATTCTGTCCACAGGCAACTTCCATGGAAATCAATAGCAGTTGCCTATGCCTGACTTTAAACTAGCCAGTTTTAAGCTAGCCACAGCAACACATGCTTCAGTGTGAGCTAGCCCCTGCAAGTAATTTCTAAGTGTTCCAGGCAGACTTGTATGTTGGTGCGCATGTGCTGCAACTTCACTTCTCCGATACCAGAGATACCCAAACTTTAATCTAGCTATGTCTTCTTGACACCCTGTGATTGCAGTATAGACTTACACTAAAATAGATTTTGGGCCCATATATTTTTCCCTTGTACACGCCATTGTTCTTTTTTTTTTTCTTCCAAAAATCAATAAAGGTGAAGGTGACACATTAAATTTAATTCAGAATCAGCGCTGGCTGAATACGGTACACATTTTTCTCAAATATTCATTTTTAATTTTAAATGGATTCAGACATCTTTTGTGTTTACCTTCCAGGAATAGTTCAGGAAATAAGTTTACTGACAGAATGTTTGCTGGAACAGCAAATTTTAATCAAATATTTTAGGACATTCATGGAAAGTGAATTTCACATTTGTAATCACTAGTACTTGAGATGGAAACCCCAAAAGAGTTACTCTTATGAAATTAGGGACAGAAAAATGTCAGGTGACACATGTCCTATCAGAATAACTCCACATGTGAATGTCAAAAGTTCACAATGAACTACTTTCTAATAATCTACTGTGGTAGATTGTTATTCACAGAATAGATTCACATTAATTATTCACCCAAAAGTCCAGTACATAGAATCATAGTCCTCAAGACCCATTTCTCCCATGATGCCTACTGGTAATTATCCATTTAATTAAGGGTTGGTGGGTTAGATCTCTTATATTTAGTTGATTTTTCATTTCATTATTTTTGTTTGTTTTTAAATATAGTGTATTTAAATATGTATTTAATGCAGGCATAACTAGATATTTTACATATTTTAATTATATCCCTAACCTCCATCCTGCCTGTTGTTCTTTAAGACCCAGTTCTGCTATCCGTGCAGTTGGACCCCTATGTGACTTCTGTGCTGGTGGAAGGGTCCACCCTTACAAACTGCAGGATTGGCCTTTAGATGGAAATCTCTTTGGGCCATTGACTGTGGCTTTCAATGCTTCTACAGCACATAGCACAATAGGGCCAAAATCCTGACTGGGGCATCTGAGCACTATCAAACTAGAAATAATTAATAATAATTAATAAATGGTTAAAATGCTCAGAATGTTTGCTGGTTCAGGCTGACAAGAGGGTAATTATTAGATTTGCTATTACAAGCAAAATCATGCCTTTCGGGTGCAAGTGTTAACTGTTGTTTCCCATGGAAATTAACAGAAGCATAGTTCATAATCCTGGGGAAAGAGTCTCCCTCCACATGCCCCCAACTTCCATATGCCAGTCAGCAGTATATATGGGCCATAAAGACACTGCACGTGGCTGGGGAGAATTCCCCCACTGCAGAAGCAATGTAGGGTCGATTTAATCAGCTCAATGCTGCCCTCGCTAGTGATGGAGACAGGGCAGAAGGGGTATTTATTTGGTTTACTGCAGTGCTATAGCAATTCTAGGCTGCTCCATGCTTCACAATGAGCTTTGGGAGGCTGCCATATATTAGAGTTCCCCTGTGGCTGCTATAATTTATGCCAGGGACCACACCAGTCCCACCACCACCACCACCAACTGACCAAAAGTCCATGCAGAGCAGAGAAGGTTTAAAGGCACCTCTATCTTCCTTCCCATTGGGTTGTATACTCTGGTGTGTGCTTCCCGGAGTCACAGCATAAAACTGTTTTGTTAATTTAGGCAAAAATTATTTTACTTTAAATTTTAAAGATTTTATATCATTTCATCTATCATTAATTGTGAACTGGATCAATAGATTCTTTCAGTTAACATATTTGAGAAACAATAGTTTAAGACTGCACAGAAAAAGCATGACTTTGCTTGGAACTTTAGTGTTAATAAATAACTTCCTGTCTGTCCAAAATTAACTTATTGAGAGTCCAGCCTACATTCCTGGCTCAACCAAAATTTCTATTGACTTCAGTAAGAGTTTTGCCTGAGTCCATAGTCTGTGACAGGTCCCTTAAAATATATGTTTTAGCCAGAAAAATTAGCATAAAATAGCTCCTTGTAAGCAATACAAAGGCTTTTAAATTTTAAAAAAGTGTGAAATCAGGGTTCATAAACTGGTTCTATAATAAAACAGCTCAGAGTCACTTTCATTGTAAAATCAGTTCTTGCATCCTGAACAAATTTACAGATACAAATGCAGGTAATGTATAGCATCCAAGAAGTCAGTAATATACATTAGTGTACTTTAAGCAAGTCATATTGAGGTACAATTCTTGAAGACATATTCCTGAATAAACATGTAGACATAGAAACTTGAACATTCTGAAAAAGAAAGTTGAGATAGAACCTTTGCACTGAGGCTCAGTTTTCCATGTCCAACTGACATGACTAGTCAGTCCAATTGAAGCTAAAATGGCTACTCACATCATTAAGGGATGCAGAATTGAGCTCTTAATAAAATCATTGGGAGTTTTGTCTGAGTGAGGACTGCAACACAGGGCTATGAAAGTACATGTTGTTTTTATGGAGTAAAATGAATATTTCATCATTTTCATTAGTACAGATCACATTAGTTTGCTTTAATTCAGATCAGTGTGGTAGCATGTTCCAGGATTTTAAGTATTTTAAGTTTTATAACAATGTGGCTGTGATCTTTAGATTTTGGGAGATTCATTAGAATTGGCTACAGTTTTGTAATGATGGAAAAGGCAGCCTCTGCAACTTGTATACAAAGTTAGAGCTGACCTTTAAAATAGGAATAAATAACATATATACTGTGCATAAGTAGAAAAAGATTGCTAGTGAAATAAAAATATAGATATTTACATTTTCTTCCATAAGTTTCCAGTGGCTAAAAGTGCAACAGTTCTTTTAATAAATACCTTCCAATGTTCTAATTGAATGCGGCATATTTTAACCAGTTATATTATATATTTTTCAAACAAAGTCACAGAAAAATTATATATCTATGTTTAAAGTAAATTTTCAAAATGACAGATTTGGGGAGGATAGGAGGTTGGCTTTCTAAATATCTTTCTTGGAGCAGTGTCCTGTATATGCTAGTTCAGTTTTCATAAGCAAATCTTACTTTTTAAAAAGAGCTTCCTCTAATTTGACTTTTTCATATCTTCATAAATAATAATTCCCCAGGGAAAAAAACTAACATAAAAGATGAGTAAATAGAAATATTAACAATGTTTAATTTAGCTGAAGAAAAAAAGGAGACGGGGCACTTCTGGATCCAGGTACTTGAATATCTTGTAAAGCTCCTGGAAATAAAGTTGTGCCTTTATAGAAAGGCTCCAAACTTACCTATATGAAAAAGATTTTGCACATAGTTCTTCCTTTGTGTTGGAAGCAGAGAAGATAATGCTGCCTGCTGGTCACCTCTAATCCGGCTTTGCAGACCTAGGATGAGTTCAGGGATCAGGAATCATGGATGCTCTTCTTTGCTGGAGTAGTGCACTCGGGTTAGTGTGTGGGGGAGCCTTACTCGCGAGCGCCTTATTGAGCGTGTTTGGAGAGAGAGGGAGATGGAGATGGCTACGGGAAAGGCATGGGAGAGGGGGCGGGGGCTCATGGTCTGACTGCACAGCTTCCATCTGCTGCGACCCATCTCTACTGCAGGAACAGTCCGCGGATTTGGAGGGAGCCTGGATTTGCTGGAGACAGGAGAGGAGTGGTGTGAATGGCTGGAGAAGGGAAGTCCGGGCTCGGGGTAAAATTGCAGGTGTACTGCTAGATTCTCCTCCCCGTCGGATTTTCCTCCCTGCCTGTTACTGAGAACGCCGAAGTGATCGGTGATGCTTACAGTGAAGCTGCTGCCCGCGGCCGGAGGGAGACTTGATTCATTGACCTGCCACTACTCCCTGAGCCCGGCTAAGCACTGGGAGACATGCTTGTGGTGATTGAAGGAGTTCCCTGCCCGTGGAACAGGGGGTTGGGACTGGGGGGAGTCCTAATTGTCTGGTTGAAGGCACTGGCAGAAGGATGAAGGGGGGCAGGGGGCGCGTTTCTGGCATAAAGCACAAAGTCCCTCCCTGACCAACAGCCCCTTTACAGTGTGTGTGTGTCCAAGCTAGAGCCATCAATAAGAGTTTAGTTAATCTGAGCAAAGTGACCATTCCTTGTTCATGGCTTTAGCCACATGTACCCTGTGTGGTCCATGAAATCTAGTTTTTTGGGGGGGTAGGCTGGGGGGATATTTTTCTTCAGAAATGTTCCTTTAGTTTGAATTAATAAATGTCTGTTTGAACTTCATAACGAGGTAATATTTTTTATTGGCCCAACTTCTACTGGTGAAAGAGACACACAGCTCTTCTTCACTCCAAAGCTTGCCTCTTTCACCAACAGAAGTTGGGCCAACAAAAGCTGTTACCTCACCCACCTTGTCTCTAATATCTGGACCAACACAGCTACAACAACACTGTAACCTTTATCATGATTTTCGGGGAAATTATGTTCTGTTCACATGAAAAGCAGAAAGAATTTCTTCCAAAGAGGAATACATTTCAAGAGCTTGTATTTCCATAGGGGGAACAGTAGCAGGCCCTAAAATTGTTTGCCTAACTTTTTCTGTTTAGAGCCCCTGTTTTCAGTAATGCCCTATTTTTTCAAGCCAGGGCCAGTTGGGCTGAAACTTTCCATGCATGCTCTCTGCCTCAGGCTACAATTTTCTGGAAATTTTCAGTTAAAACCATTCAAATGTTTCTGAGAATTAAATTAGGGGGAAATGGTTGTTTTGCCAATACCAAAAAAAAATATGTTTCTATAACCCTTACAAACATACTGGAGTACTGCTTGCTGCCTGTGAGCACTGCTCGCTACAGAACAAGAGGAAAGACAAATGGGGGAACCATTTCTGGAGTTTTTCTTTTTTCCATCAGAAATTTCATCCACTGGACCAGGACTAAGGACAGGAAAGCATAATCAATTTCTGACAGGGTTTAAAGTCAGCCATCAGAAACTGTCTGGGGCTAAGGAAAGGTGGAGGGAAGCAATTTCTGACATGATCTCCACTATCTATCAGAATGTGCTATAGTTGTTCCAGGGGATAAGGAAAGGTTGGGGAAGCAGATTTTGACAGGGCTCATTCTCACCTGTCAGAATTTAATACCTTTGAACCAAGATGACGAGATAAGGTGAGAGAAAAAATCCTGACTGTTCATTTTCAACTCTCAGAAATTGCTACCTGTGGGCCAAGATGATGACAACAGTTTAGGTAAGCAAATTCTGAGAGGCTCCTTGTCACCCACTAGATTTTGTTACCTGTGGCCCAGGGAGGAGATGGAAGCATGTTTTATTATGGTAGAAAAAATGATAGGTAGTTATTGCCAGTGTTGTTACCGATAGCAAATTCTGATAATGAGGGTGATTATGACTGTGCATGCGGTGAAGAACTCTCCAGCTACAAGTATCAGGCGGTAGCCGTGTTAGCCTGTATCCACAAAAACAACAAGGAGTCCGGTGGCACCTTAAAGACTAACAGATTTATTTGGGCATAAGCTTTCATGGGTAAAAAACCTCACTTCTTCAGATGCATGGAAGTGAGGAAACAGATTGACAGAGTGAGACGGGTACCCAGAAATCACCTACTACATGACAGGCCCAACAAAGAAAATAACAGAATGCCACTAGCTGTCCCCTACAGCCCCCAGCTAAAACCTCTCCAGCGCATTATCAACGATCTATAACCTATCCTGGAAAACGATCCCTCACTCTCACAGACCTTGGGAGGCAGGCCAGTCCTTGCTTACAGACAACCCCCCAACCTGAAGCAAATACTCACCAGCAACTACACACCACACCACAGAAACACCAACCCAGGAACCAATCCCTGTAGCAAACCTCGTTGCCTACCCTGTCCCCATATCTACTCTAGTGACACCATCAGAGGACCCAGCCACATCAGCCACACCATCAAGGGCTCATTCACCTGCACGTCTACTAATGTTATATATGCCATTATGTGCCAGCAATGCCCCTCTGCCATGTAGGTTGGCCAAACCAGACAGTCCCTACATAAAAGAATAAATGGATACAAATCGGACATCAGGAATGGTAACATACAAAAGCCAGTAGGTGAACACTTCAATCTCCCTGGACATTCTATAACAGATTTAAAAGTAACTATTTTTGAACAAAAAAACTTCAGAAACAGACTTCAAAGAGAAACAGCAGAACTAAAATTCATTTGCAAATTTAACGCCATTAATTTGGGCTTGAATAGGGACTGGGAGTGGCTGGCTCGTTACAAAAGCCACTTTGCCTCTCCTGGAATTGACACCTCCTCATCTATTATTGGGAGTGGACTACATCCACCCTGATTGAATTGGCCCTGTCAACACTGGATCTCCACTTGTGAGGTACTCCATTCTCTTCATGTGTCATTATATAATGCCTGCATCTGTAACTTTCACTCCATGCATCTGAAGAAGTGAGGTTTTTTACCCACGAAAGCTTATGCACAAATAAATCTGTTAGTCTTTAAGGTTCCACTGGACTCCTTGTTGTTTTTCTCCAGCTACAGAACAACAACAGCAACAGTGATTAAAGTTAAAAGTAGGAGGGAAAGAACAGCTCCCACTTCCAGAGCTCTCAATAGCAAAACTGGAGCAGATTTTGCTGCTCCCTTGCTTTTCTGTTATTGACTGTTATTGCCTAAAGCCCTTTTTAAATTAAAGAAATGTAAAATCATACATATACTGCAAATGTTGAAGCTTGATCTGATTATACGCTGAGCTATGCCTGCACTGAGGTACTCTTCCTATCTTCATAACTGGGACACACTCTCTCTATCTATATTCCATGTACAGCATTTATTTTTCATTCATCAAACAAGCAGAAAGGAAGCCTTAAAGCACACGGAAATACACAAGACCCCTGATTGTTTTCACCACAGAACAGCTGCCACTGAGGGAGACAACATATTTCAATCCTATGTGGTGTTTTATAAAATTAGAATTAAGAAAACAGTTTAAGAGATTATACCATTACCAGTGTGCTGACAGCACCAATGCGTTAGTTTGCTCATTTTTTCTCTTTTCTATTCTGAGATTATTGTAGGATTTTGGAAAGCTAATGGGAAACATTGAAGGCCCTACTTAGTTTCAAGGATTATTGTTTTAGTAATTTCATAATACCTGGGTCTGACAATGTTTCTGGTTTCCCTCTGAGTGTAAGTCACACAGGAGTTTAGTGTGAAAATGAATCTGGCCAAGATTTTCTAAAGTGATTATTATTACTGGTTTCAGAATGGTAGCCATGTTAGTCTGTATCAGCAAAAACAATGAGGAGTCCTTGTGGCACTTTAGAGACTAATAAATTTATTTGGGCATAAGCTTTCGTGGGCTTAGAACCCACTTCATCGGATGCATGAAGTGAAAAATACAGGAGCAGCTATAAATACATGAAAGGATGGGGGTTGCTTTACCAAGTGTGAGGTCAGTCTAACGAGATAAAGCAATTAACAGCAGGATAGCAAGGGAGGAAAAATAACTTTCAAAGTGGTAAGAGAGTGGCCCATTACAGACAGTTGACAAGAAGGTGTGAGTAACAGTAGGGAGAAATTAGTATTGGGGAAATTAAGTTTAGGTTTTGTAATGACCCAACCACTCCCAGTCTTTATTCAGGCCTAATCTGATGTTATCCAGTTGGAAAATTAATTCCAGTTCTGCAACTTTACCTCGGAGTCTGTTTTTGAAGTTTTTTTGTTGAAGAATTGCCACTTTTAGGTCTGTTATTGAGTGACCAGAGAGACTGAAGTGTTCTCCTACTGGTTTTTGAATGTTATGATTCCTGATGTCAGATTTGTGTCCATTTATTCTTTTGCGTAGAGACTGTCCGGTTTGGCCAATGTACATGGCAGAGGGACATTGCTGGCACATGATGGCATATATCACATTGGTGGATGTGCAGGTGAATGAGTCCCAAATGGTGTGGCTGATGTGGTTTGGTCCTATGATGGTGTCCCTTGAATAGATATGTGGACAGAGTTGGCTCCGGGGTTTGTAGCAGGGTTTGGTGCCTGGGCTGGTGATTTTGTTGTGTGGTGTGTAGGTGCTGATGAGTATTTGCTTCAGGTTGGGGGCTGTCTGTAGGTGAGGACTGGCCTGTTGCCCAAAGTCTGTGAGAGTGAGGGATCATTCTTCAGGATAGGTTGTAGATCCTTGATGATGCACTGGAGAGGTTTTAGCTGTAGGTGACGGCTAGTGGCATTCTGTTACTTTCTTTCTTGGGCCTGTCTTGTAGTAGGTGACTTCTTGGTACCATTCTGACTCTGTCAATCTGTTTCTTCACTTCACCAGGTGGGTATTGCAGTTTTAAGAATGCTTGATAGAGATTCTGTAGGTGTTTGTCTCTGTCTGAGGGATCGGAGTAAATGCGGTTGTATCTTAGAGCTTGGCGGTAGACAATGGATCGTGTGATGTGGTCTGGATGAAAGCTGGAGGTGTGTAGGTAAGTATAGTGGTAAGTATGTTTCTGGAATAGGGTGGTGTTTATATGACCATCGCGTATTAGCACTATAGTGTCTAGGAAGTGAACCTCTTGTGTGGGCTGGTCCAGGCTGAGGTTGATGGTAGGGTGGAAATTGTTGAAATCTTGGTGGAATTCCTCAAGGGCCTCCTTCCCATGAATCCAGATGATGAAGATGTCATCAATGTAGCGCAAGTAGAGTAGAGGGGTAAGGGGATGTGGTG